TCATTCTTGCGATGAATTTCTAAGGAAGGCAAAAAAAAATCCGCCTTGATTTTCAGGCCCAAAATGGAACTGAAAAAAAGGGACTTCATTTGGAAATCACCTTGTCCCATCGACGATCGATTTCCGATCGCGCCATGTCATCGGGAAAAATTGTTCCTCATTCGTAATTCCCACCACGATTCTTATCATTCTTGCGATGAATTTCTAAGGAAGGCAAAAAAAAATCCGCCTTGATTTTCGGGCCCAAAATGGAGCTCGAAAATGAGGAAAGCGGGTTTCCAGAGCGACTCTCGTTAGCGGCAGAAAATCATTTCCAAAAAGGAAAGAAGAAAAAAGAAATGCGGAAATTAAAGGGAAACCGTCTTGGCTTGCATGTTCTGGGGGGGGGGAAATGTCCTCAGAAAAGGAAATTTTTAACGAGACACTGGGGAAAGCCTCTTTCCCGGAGCCCGAGGTCCCGATCGATCCGAACGACGTCGCGCGGCGTTCCGCAACGCGTCCCGGACGCGGAACGAAACGCGGAAAAAGGCTAAGCGGCTTATTTCGGGACCTCGGGAGGAGGAGAGGGTGTGCCGTTAACGATTGGCTTTTGTCTGTCAAATAATACGCTTTCGCTCCTGGCTGAACACCCGACTCGATGATTCGCGATCCGGGGTGGCTGAGAGCGAGATAAAAAGCGGAAAGAGCGGAAAAAGCGCGGAACGAGAGGGGTAAAGAGGACCCATCCGACGGGGGAAAAAAAAGGAAAAAAAAATTGGAATAAACGCGTTTGCACGCCCCGGTGTAATATCCGCGTGAATACGCGGTTTTCGGGGAATTACCCGATTTATGGATTCCCCTAGGCCCCACCGACAGGAGTCGATGGACCAATCGATCGACAATCTGCCGCGAAACTATACCTTTATTTGCCGAATTATTTGCCAGAATTATCCGGCAAAAGTGGTAAAAAAATCCGTCCCGATCTGATGCACCAGGTACCTCTTTAAGGCGAGAGGAAAATCTCCTCCATGAAACATTTCCCCTCACTTTCCCCGAAATTCTTTGAAACTCTACAATGTAAATACGGAAGTCACATAATGACACCCACGAAATATCAATTTTGTTCCGTTATTTTTTATTCTAAACGTCTTTGGAATTTTTTCTTCCAGCGAAAATGGAAAATACTGAATGTGAATTCTCGGGAATGTGGTAATATGCGAGAGGCAGGAAATTTAACGATTAAAAGGAGTTAAGGTGTTAACTAAATCCGAGTTCGATTTGAAGTCCACGTGGATTATTTTTTAACCTCACCGGGAGTTGTTTCCCACCCTTTGAGGGGGTGGTCGCAGGGCTGGCGTTTCATGTTTCCGTTTCAGGATGTCTCTTTTCCGAAAGCCTGACAAGCGGATCCGACTGGTCCTGATAATTAAGGGGAGCGGTACGTGCCGCGTATATAATTCGAGGCTCCGTCGAGGGCCGGTATAAATTAAGCATACTTTAGCGCCTTTACTCTCTATGCATGAAGTTTTAATGGTCCTGGTATTTCAGCGTGGGATTTATGTCTCTCTTAGATAAGTTGAAATTAAAATGCACCGCCGGCCCCGGGAGTCGCCGCAACCTTCTGGACCAGCTACAGCTGCAACAACAACAACAACTCTCCTCTCGCTCCCCGCTTTACGACGCACTCGGATGTGCTCCAGTTAATGTATACGCATTTGCGATCCCATCCGGTAGCCCGGCCTCCCCTCGGCAGGTCGCCATTTTGCAAGTTTTATCGGTCGCAGAGCCGTAACCGGGGCCCTCGGATGGGAGACTTCGATGCCTGGACGGCGAGCAGCGATGAGCTAGAAAGAGACGCACCGATGCGCGGCCCGTGAGAGGGAGAGAGACGAGGCGAGTCGAAGAGCTCGACCGGCGTCCTGCACCCTCGCGACTGAAAGGACACAGGGTGCCAGGACCTCGAAAGGACCTCTAAAGGACCTCATCGAACGGGAAAAAATCCCCGAGGGCCTAATCTAATTAACCAGGGGATTAAAAAGGGGACAATAGTAAGAGAAAAGGGAAAAGAATCCCCATAGAAATGGAAAACTCGGGATTATCTAAACCTCGGGTCACTTAATCAGATCTAGTATCATTAAGAAAGGGGTAAGCATAGATAAGAAAAAGGGGAAGGAAGGAGAACACCAATTTGTGGCGTTTCTCCTCCCTGGAATTTCGAGCATCCCCTTTACGAGTCGCGAGGGTTGTTCCGGAGCATCTGCGGAATTATTCGGCGCTCTGTAGAACACCCCCACGGGGTGGCGGTGATTTTGCGGGGGTTTATCGGCGGTGAGACCGTAATCAGGACGCCGAACGGCCGCTTCTGGAGACCTCGATGCCCGCGGAAATCGGGGGGAAGATTTAGAGGGGCAGGACCGAGATCGCACCCCTAACTCACGGGCGGCTTCCCGAAGGGGTGGATTTCTCTGGGGGATATTTCTTCCATGAAGGGGGGGGCGGCTAAATGCAGATAGAACGGAGGGGGGTTGAATCTTCCAGCGGTTTTCCTCGGTTTCCGGGTAATGGGGAGCCTCCCCGCTGCGGAATTCCGCATGATAAATATCGCGAGGGCCCCGGACTTGGGGGAATTTTTGGGACGTCTTCCCTGGGGATTTAATTAGCCGGGAATTGGGTTAAAATCCGGGAAGAGGAGGCTCGAGGAGACACGTGTCGGGGGAGGAGGGTGTCTCGACGGGTGGAGGCTGAGGTGGAAACGGCTTATCCGAGATGACAAGGGGCTGGAAACCAGAAGAGGGGTGGATCCGTGACTCGGGAACCCTCGCACGTTTGGAGATACCCAGGCAGACGTTTAACCCTCGGCGTTAACCACCCCCTCTCGCCCACGGGGGATGAAACGGTGACATCCCTCGAGGCAAACGGCGAATTAGGCAAGTCTGCCGCCATCGGGAATTTCCACCCCATAGACCCCGCACACCTCGAAATCCCATTTCCGCCCATTTTTTAACCACCATCTCTCTCTCTCTCTTCCCACTTCCAGCGATTCCAAAAAATCCCGAAATTCCAGGAACTCCCGAAAATCCCCCAAGATATTAATTTCAAGGGTTAGGTCGACTCGCGGCGTCTTCCCCCCAATTCCAGCGATTCCGAGAATTCCGGAAATTCCAGAAACTCCCGGAACCTCCCAAAATCCTTCATTTACAGGAGCAGACCGACGCGCGCGCCCTCCGACAGGGGATCCAGGAAATTCGGGAGGGAAATTCGAATACGGAGGAGCCAAGAGAGAGAGAGAGAGAGTCAGGACGGGGAATTAGCGAAGGGGTGGCTTGGGCGCCAAGCCGTCTGGGGGATCCGGTGGATCCCGGGGGGCGGTTCCCCCCAACCCCGAGGGTCGGGAGCCTCGTACGGAGAAAGTTAAATACCCTGAATAATTTAGGCGACAGAGGAGCCGAGGAAGAAGCGAACCTCGCCGACGAGGAGCGGAACTCGTTCGCCCTGATGTAAAAGCTCTTTCTCTCCGTCGACGTTCCGCGCGCGTCCCGCACACCCAACCGGTGAAAAAAATGGCGAAATACCGGCTAAAATGGCTTTCGCTTTGAGAGTCGAATGCGGAGTTGTAATAATCTCGCCCCCCCCCCCCCATTCATTGCGGGCGCTCAAAAGCGTGGGAACAGATGATGGGGGGGGGGGGGGGGCAGTCGAGTACATCAGGTAACGTTAACGCGGGTTCATCCGATAAAGAAATCCCCATTCCGCGCGGGGAACGTCCCTTTGAAGGGACCCTTCGTATGTTTCTTTTTCCTTTTTTTCTCTCTCTCCCTTATTTTTCTTTTTTGCTTTTACTATCCTCTCTAAGGGAAATTGGAATTCTGGATTTCGCCCTCGGGGCTAATCGCCGGGGGTAGGAACTTTGCCCCCCCCCCCCCTCTTAAGACTGTCTGACCTAAGTGACACCTTGTTCGCCCTTTCGACCCTTCGCTTTCAAATTCGCCCGAATCGAGTCCCACTTAAAATTAAGATAAACCCCCTTAAAAGTGGTAAATTAATAATTTATGGAGGGTACCACCCCTATAAGAAGCTATTGCTGGTTGAAGGGTGGGGGGGGGGAACCTAGACATAATTTAAGGAACGCCCTGGAAGGGCTAATGCACTCGGCGTGGCACGCCGAGATCGATGCAAACCTCGTTAAGGGAGCGGACGGAGACACACGTCGAGGCAAATGGACAGACGGATGGATGGACGAAGAGCGAGAGAGAGAGAGAGAGAAGCTGAGACGCGGGGCCATGAAAACAAGGGAAAGGTCCAAAAAAAAAATGGGGGGTTAAAGAGAGAGAGAGGAAACACGGGTAAGAAGGGCGAGAACGGTCCGGGGTCGCAAGTGCCCCCGTACATGGGGCTGCGCGGGGGTGGGGACCCCCCGGCGGGGCAAATTGAGCGGTTAATAAGTAACGCCCTCGTTTGCCGCGGCTCCGCGACGATACCTCGGCTTCCGGGGGCAACTCCCCCCGGGGGTTCGTAGGTCGATTCCTCCCCGGCGGCAGGTCGAACAGAGACCACCTCGCTCGGAGTGCCATCTCGAGGTCTCCCTCCTATCGAGGGGGTGGAAAGTGAATTCGACACCAGGGGGGTGGGTGGGTGGGCGCCTCCCCCCGGAGGGGGAGGCAGCGGGCGGCCCTAAACGCCCGCTTTGTCGGGGCATCTGGGTCAAGGGTCAGGCCGCCACTTCGGGGCGCGGGTCTCTGAAAACGTTTGAGCCACCCCCGGGGGGAGGTGCCCGAGGGGGGGCAGGTGGGGGGCTGCGACGCTAAGGGTCGCCGAGGGTCGTGGGAAAAAAAGTGGATTATTGGGTCGAGGGTCGCGCACTCGCTATTCAGAATTCGGAATAATGGCCGGATTATGCGCGACCCTTCTACCCCTTCCTGCCCCCACCCCCACCCCCCGGCAGCGCATCCGGGACCACAACGGGGAAAGGGGGATGCATTGAACGCGTCCTTACGTCTCCTTGTTTCTTTTTTATGTTCCAGCCGGCGCCCTGAAGCTACTCGACGTGAGCGTCCCGCCGTACACCCTCCGGGGTGAAAACGCCCTCCTGGTGTGCAGGTGAGAGAGAGAGAGAGAGTAAGAGTGCATGTTATTCTCCCACCCCCCTTCAACCCCCAGCTCTCAACCCTCAACCCCTAACCTCCAACCACCGCCCGACGAGGCTGAACTCCCAGGGGAGCTATTTTCGGCAATCCGAGCCGAAAGGTCCGCTTGCCCCCTCTCACCATGGTTCTGATTTCCCATCATTCGCGCGTGGGGCAAATCCCCTCCCCCTTACCCACCCAGTTAGGGGGGCCGGTCCGCGTGGCGCGACCGGAAGCGTTTTCGCGGCGGTACATAAAGCGGGCTTTTATCGCCCCGTGTTACTTTTCACTCGCGATTTTACGCCGGCCACCGCCACCTCCCCCCGNACCCACCCATCCGATTCCGCGGCGCGAAATCGACGGCGGCGAAAACGCTTGACTCCTCGACGCGTAAATCGCGACCCAACGGACCGGAGACGCAGGACGATAGTCCCTAATTTTTCCCCATTTTCGGTCGCCCCCCGCCCCCGCTCCCCCATCGTTCCTTCTCCGCGCGGCTTTTCCGCGTCAGGTCCCGACGAGGGAACAAGAGCGGCCAGGAAATCGGAGGGATTCCTCGCCCTTTTTCCGCTTCCTCGTCTACTCTTTCTACGCCGGATGCGGAAATAGGTAAGGGGGGGGCGGGCGAGGGGGGGGGGGCAGGGGGAACAATCTGCGAGCGATCCGCTGAGATATACGAGCGGGCCGATCCGACGGAACCTGCGTGCGAGCCGCGTGAATAATGCGACGGGGCCGGACGTACCGCGACGGATTTGCCGCGGGGGCGGCGGCCCGGCAAAAAGTTCGGCAATTCCGGACGCGGGCGGACGAATCGTGGGGGGGGGGGGACTTTAACACCCGATAAGGACGAGTGGACGTCCCCTCGTTCGTTTTTCCGACGTTTGTCGCGGAGGTGCGGAATCGCCGCCACCCCCACCCACCCATCCTCCCGCCCTCGTCGGCATTTCCATTTACAGGAAACGCCGTAACCGGGAGGAAAACCCCTCCCCGAGTCGCGGAATCATTTCGCGGAGCGTGTTGCGGGGGGTCCTGCCCCCCCCACGAGAGCGCGATTCGCCGCGGAAAAACGGAGCCGGCTGTCACCGAAACTGTCAGCCCTCGGTTGAATTTCATTTCTCACGGGCCGCGCTCTCGTAACGAGCCCGTAACACCCCGCGTGTGCAGCCGTGCGGTCCATTAGGAAGTGGGGCCATTTTATTTTTTTTTCTCCTCTTCCCGTGTTTTTTTTTTCTCTTTCGTTCCTCCCCTCTTCTTTTTGTTCCCTTCCTTTCCTCTCGTTTTTGCACCTCCGCGAGCCGCTCGCTTTGTCGGCCCTGCGGGGGCCGAGTTTTCAAAACGGCCAAAGAGGCCGCCCCCGGGGCGACCACCCCGGAGATTTGGAAAAGCTCCACAGAGGCATCCGCCCCCCCCCCCGCCCCGCCCCGAAAGTGAAAAGCTCGGGAAAATGGAAGCGTTTCGTTAAACATTCGCGATAAAGGACGCACCCGCCCCCGCCGCGCGGCGTCCACCGCCGCAAAGGACGGACATCCACCGTGACAAAGAATTTCCGCACGCCGGCGATCCGCGGCGGGAAAGGAAAGCGCGGAAAGTCTAGGGGAGGAACTGAGAAGAAAACCGGGGGGGGGGAGAATCGAGTACATGGATCTGGGGATCCGCGTGTCCACGGGGGGAGGGGAAGGCACCCTGGGAAAATTCCATCGATGCGGAGTTCCTGTGGGGGCCGGGGGGGGGGGAAGTCGGAGTAGTCAAGGGGAAGGTGAGGCATTCCCGGGAAAAGCACTTTTCTCTGCGGCCGTGCGCCGTTGGGGTATTTATCTGATCAGTTCCCAAAGAGTTCTCGTCGTGTGGGGGGAGGCGGGGGGAAGGCGGGGGAGTTTCTCTGCTTTAGCAACCCCCCCAGATCCGGGGGGAGGGCCGCGGGGGTGAAAAAGGAGGAGGCCAGACCGTTAGTCAGCAGAACTCGTTCCTCCGAATCGATCCGTCATCGAATATGACGGGGGTGGGTTGCCCCAAGTTGGGGCGGGGGCGGGCACCCCGTCGAGCACGAAGGTGCAAGCGAGGTTGGGGGGTGGCAACCCCCCGGGGAGCGGACCTCCGCGAGCCGTCAACCGGTGGGCTTGTTTTACGAATTCCGGGGGCGTCTCGTAGTCGCGGCTAATGGAGTTACCGCGGGGGTGGACCACCCCCTGTGGGGGGGCGACCCCCTGCAGGGCCTGCCTCCAGACGCTCGCGGCCTCCTCCTAGCACCTGCGGGTCGAGGGATAACTCTTTCACCTCCCCCGCTGGGCGGACGAAGCCGTCGGTCCCGCTTTGTAGTTTCGCCCCCCCTCCCCCCGGGGGGTGAATACCCCCCGGGCACCCTAGGGGTTGATTCGACTCCGAATTACTTTCCTCGCGGCGGAGGGGACCATCAAGGGCTCTCGTGCGTCTCTTCCGCATCCCAAGGACGACCTGTATGGGGGCGATGGCTCCACGCACCCTGCGCGGGGGTGGTTCCCCCCCTGGGGAAGGTGACGCTCCTCGGGCGGCTAACCGGCGATCACCGGCATTCTTTCTCCCCGGAACCGGGCTCGGACATGGGACTCCCTCGGGACGTGTCCCGCGCCGACCGCGAATCCGCCCGGGCGGCCGCCGCGGTCCGCGGTCGTCGCGGTAATTCCCGGCCGGAAGGGCCGCGGCCGGCCGAAGGCGGCTGCGGACAAACCTCTAATTGGACGACGCTAACGAGCGTCCACTACTCGCAATTAGCCTTCCGACACGTTAATCCGCGCGCCCGCCTGCGGAACACCCGCTCCGGGTTAATTCGCCCGGCCCTACCCGATTCGGTTAATTCGGCCGACTCGGCCGGTGCGCGGCCGAGTCGCGACGGCCCTACCGCCAATTCAAGGAAACCTCGAAGAACCGCATCCCGGGAGCTCGGGGCATGCGGAAAACGCAGTGGCAACCCTCGCGACGAGCACTCAGTCCGAGAATCGATGCGACCGGGCGAGAAGGGGTGGAGGCGCTAATTCCCGCCGAGTCGGTCTTCCCTCCCCCACAGACCGCAGGCGTCGCGACGTCGCGCCCGACTTCCGGCCCCGAGCTCCGACTCCGAATCCGACGTCCGATTGACTGGAGAGACTCTGCCACTTCGGATGTCCCACTCGGCCGTCATCCCCATAACATCCCCCACATTGACCCTCCCCAAGATCCGGAATCCCGTTTCCCAACCTACCCCGAATCATCCGCATCCTTCCGAGAATAATCCCCTCGCGGAATCCACCCTTCCCATCGACCGCCAGCGGAATTCCGCGAACGGCAGCCGCAACTCCTCGAAGGGGGTTCTCTCTTTGAGGTTAGGTCGATCCACCGCCACGCGGGGAGATCTTGCGAGGAATCCCACGGGGTTCCCATGGTTCCTCGTCAGGATTTCCCCCCGGTTCCGTCGTGTACGGCGGAAAGAGCGAAAGCTCGGGGTGGGGGGGGGGCAATGTATGCGTCTCGGGTCTGTCGTATAAATTGCAAATTAGTTTACTGCCCCGGGACTCGCAGTTGGTTTACGGTCCCGCGCCACCTACTCCGCCGCCCCCTCTCCGCCCCCCCCAGTCTACCTTACCGAGGTACAATTGCATTTCGGTGCAGCGGTGCATCGTTTGCGCGATTACGCCGCCCTTTCGGGCCAATCCGAGCGCGACTCGGCCTCCTACCTTTTCGATTTAATCCGATGTTCGTCCGACGAGTAACAACGTATTCACCGAGGAATTAAATCGCCCCAGCCTGTCCCACCCCCCCCCCCCGAGACACCCCCCCAATGCCCCCCATAGGGACCCTGGATACAAAAGTGCGACGAAACGCGACGATTTTGCTCCCCTCCACCCCCCAAGGGGGCGGAGGGGGTGGGTGGGTGGTAACCGTACGTGCGACGCATCGCGACACCATATTCAGTTCCGGGGGGAGGGCGCGTGCCCCCAGGGGGGCGACTGTTTGCCGCGGGGGGCGACGAAAACCCGGAAAATGACTGGGGGGTGCGACCCCACCCCCTCCGTTATCCCCCGTTATCGCGGAACGCGGGGAACAAACGGCGCTGCTCTACGTGACGTCACGGCGCCCCAGCGTCGCCGCCGGTGGGTTCAGAATTTAATTGAGGACGCGTAAGCACCCCATGTATATATGCAACTGGCTTGTTATTCATGCAACGACGGGGAACGGAATTCCTGACACGAAGCCCTCCCAGGACGCCTGACCTCGGTGTCGCTAATGTTTCGAGCATTCGCAGAGCAGCCTGTCTGCCCCCCCCCCCCATCTCCGTGCCCCTCGCCGCTCGTGTATCCGCCACTCTCCGGAATTCATGGCAGAGCGGTAGGTTCAATTTGTTCCGGGCTCCCAAGAAATTCCACATGTCCCCCAGGAGCCCCCGTTTATACGCCTATCCCTTTCCCCCCCAGTTCTTCAACTATCTCCTCCTGTGCGCCATTCCCTGGGCGCTCTCCCATTTCCTGGGAAACCTGCGAGATCGCTCCTGGATGAGGTTCTCTTCTTGTGGACCCGAAAGAGGGGTAGAAATGGGAGCAGGGTGATTTTTTTCCGAATTTTTCGAGCTTGTTTTGTGGGGGATATAGGGGGCGACGCGTTCTCCAAGATGGCGGACTTCGATCGGCGGGATCGCGAGCTCCTCGAGGAGATGCGGCCGATTATGCCGCCAACGGCCGTCGACGTCGAGCCCTCTCCCTGTTATAATTGCGGGGGTCACGCGACCCTCGCATCGGCCACTTCCGCCCCCGATGGGCCGCCTAATCGCCCTGAAACGCCGCCCGCCCACGCGATCCCTGGGATACCTACTTTCCTTCCGAAAATCAAGCCCCTTATTAGCCGCTGCCCCCAGTCCGCTCGGAGACGCCGCGCGATTACTGGAATTTCTTCTGGGGACTCGGGGATCACTTGTTCGTCCCACCTTTACGCGCCCTGGAGACGCCCGCGCGATTCCTGGATTTTTTTCCGCGAATCTCTGAGAATGCTGCCCCCAGTCCGCTTGGAGGCGCCGCGCGATTACTGGAATTTTTTGCACGATTCTCGGAGAATACTTATTAGTCGCACTTCCCACTCGCCTTACGAAAGCCGCACGATTCCTGGAATTTTTTCACGATTCTCAGAGAATACTTACTAGGCGCACTTCCCACTCGCCTTACAAACGCCGCACGATTCCTGGATTTTTTTCGCAAAACCTAAAGAGTACTTACTAGTCGCACTTCCCACTCGCCTTACGAAAGCCGCACAATTCCTGGAATTTGTTCACGAAATCCAGAGATCTCTCTTTAATCGCGCCCTTACTCGCGTTATATACGCCACACGATTCCTGGTATCTTATCACAAAACCGAGATTATGAAACGACTCGTTCTCCGTTTCAGATACGACCTGGGGTCCGATAAGCTGTACGCCGTGTCCTGGTACAAGGACAACGAGGAGTTCTACCGATACGTGCCGAAGGGGGCGCCCAATCAGCACAGCTATCGCGTGGAAGGCGTCAAAGTCGACGTAAGTGTCAACTCATTTCCCACCCCTAACCCCCACTTCGTGGGGAATGGTAACGAGGCCGATTAATTAACATATTCGCGTGTCGCCATCTGAATATTCCCCCATGCAACTGGGCCGACTGCTAAATTGCAGGGCCAATTGTTTCTGATCCAATTGGGGCCGCCCGGATCGGGAATTAATGCGGAGGGGATGAATCGTTGACGGGGCTCGCATAGTCACCCCTAGGGGCAGAAGGAACAAGGGGTATTCCCCTTGGTCCTGCACCCCCACGCCATAGACCTCGTATCCTACTAGAAAGGGTTATGCAACTTTCCTCCGAACTGGTCGCACCGACTGAATAAAAAAATTAACGCAATAAATAATAAGGCCATAAGGAAGGTCCCGCCACCCCAAACAATTGAAATATGAGTGTCGCGACCTTCCCAGCAGCCTTTAAATTCCCGCAGAAAATTCGGAAGCGCTTCGGTGCCCCCGGTTAGGACGAAAGCGTCATTTCCGGCAGTACTTTGGTATCGCCTAATTTTCGGAGGCGCGAAGGGGTTGAAGGAAGACTAATCTCGGCTCCCTTGGTGGAAAGGTCACTCCCTGGTGGTTAAGGGGTTGGCACCCCTCTAGGGGGAGGAATAAGAAGTGGAAGTTTACCGGTCGACAAGGGGTGGTTACGCGCCAAGAAGGGGCGGAATCGGGGCGTCCTCTGCAGGTCGTCGGCGGTACCGGACGTCCGATATAGGGCTCGAGAGAACCGGAGCTTCTTCTCGACTATCGATTCCTGGCCAAAGGAAAAGGAGAGAGAGAGAGAGAGAGAAAAAAAAAAAGACACCATGGCGGTGAAACAGACGAGCTAAAATGCTTCGAAAAAACGGGAGTATAAAGGAGGGAGAGAAAAAAAAGGATAATAAATCCCAACCCGTGGGTCGATCTTCCTTCCTCCTTTTTCCGACCCCAGGAGATACCGCCCCCCTCCCCCTGGGGGGGGAGAACGAGAGAAGTCGGGGGCGAAACGAGGAGAAAGTCCTCGCGATAACTGCGCCGCGCGGAGCCGGCATAAAATATTTCAATTTATTCCGAAAGGTATACGGCCGCGGTCGCGTATAATAAAGCCGCATATTCAAAGCGGCAATAAAAATAAAGCCGCCTCCCCCGGGACGGTCCAGGCTCTTCCAGGGGTGGTTTCGCGAGGGCAAAGGGTGGAGGGCCTGGGAGGATGAGGGACACGCCTAGCGTAATTACCGACTCGCATGACCGCAAACAGGAGGGTCTTCTCACCCCATTAATTAGGGTAGGTACCCTTCCGCTTCATTTCGGAACTAGGAGGGTGCAGGTGGACAGGGGCACCTCCCACTTCCACCCCCTGTCTTCTTTCGCAGGCTCGTCTCCCTCGAGACGGTACGCCGCTCTTGTCTGGTCACGCGGGCGCAGCATCCGGGGCCAGCGGACGATTACTGGATTTTTTGATGCCAGGAATTGTGCGCCTTCCGTGCGTTTAAGAAATTGCGTGACTTTCGTGCGTTCCAGGCATTTTCGCAGGCTCTTCTTCCTCGAGATGGTACTCCTCTTTTATCTGGTCATGCGGACGCAGCATCCGGGGCCAGTGGACGATTACTGGATTTTTTTATGCCAGGAATCGTGCGCCTCTCGGGCACTCCGGGAATTGTGCGTCTTTCGTGCGCTTAAGAAATCGCGCGCGTTTCGTGCGTTTAAGAAATTGCGCGCCTTTCGGGCGTTCCAGGAATTTTGCGCATTTCGAGGATTCCAGGAATTTTGCGGGTTTCGTACACTTTTCGGCATTTCCCTCTTTATCGAGAGAGGCTCCAATTTCCCGAGAACCCGCGCGGGGTCGAGGAACAGATAAGGGTGACCTCCTCACGATTTTCTTATCCCCCTCCCATTTCCGGTCCAGGAAGGCATTAGGCCATCTCTCTCCTTCGATCGGCGAATCCTAGGCCAGGGCACCACTCGGCCCCGGTAACTATACCTCGTTAACAGCAGTCGAACATAATGAGCATTACGTGAGGAGACTGGCTCTCGTTTCTCGTTTAATCTGCCCCATTAATCCGGCCAACCCCCCCTGCCCCCACTGCCCCTGGCCACGTAACCCGGACCTAGACTAACGTTTCCAAACCAGGAACCGAAGCCAGCGACCACGTGTCCCACAGGAAAGAACCCCTTCGATTCCTCCGACCGCTCCGAAAACGCGTCGAGAAATCCTCCGGAGACTGGATTGACCTAATTTTTCCGTCAGAACTGGACAGGAAATGGAAAATGAAGAAGGAAGATGGGTCGCACGAGGGGGCTGCAAGTTACGGGTCAGGGGGTTACCCCTTGGTGCACCCCCTGATGCACCTGCGGGAGGGATGCAGCGCGGCGGGCGGCGACCTCGCGCACTACCAACGGGCAATAAAGGGGGATTAATATTTCATTTCGAGCCTCGTAAATCGATTTGGGTAGGAAACACATTGTCGGGCAGAAGGTGGAGTTCCAGGGGAAAAGAGATGTCCCTAGACCGGGACCGCAGGTGGAGTACTAGGGACTTTATCGTCCCAAGTGCATCCTGCACTCTCAGTGCCAGTTTCTCCCGCTCTTCGCGTCCCTCTCTGTCAGAAATGAGAGGGAAAAGGGACGGAAGTTAACCCAGAGGAATACTATCCGGTGAACTGATGTTTCCGTTGGCTCGCGATGATAGGTACCCCCGTTCCTTTTTTTCGTTGCGTTGTTTCGTTCTTTTTTTTGTTTTCCCGCCCACCCCTCGCCGTCCTTTCCATCGGGGATGGAATTACCTCTCTACGTATACACCCTCGAGTATATATATTTTTTCCCCGGCAATTTTGAGCCGCTCTTTCGAATTTTTCGCTAGGATTGAAATTCCGCCGAAGCGTGTCAAATGCCCCGCTCGACAAACACAGGTCGTCGTTTATTTATCCTCCGCGTCCATTTTGTTTAATTCCCACTGCCCGAAAGTGGGCACGGGATGGAATTCGTTCTGGGTGACAATTGACAGGAAGTAAACGTATCGGGACCGGGAGGGGGGCGAATAAAGTGAATTCTCGCTAAGATCCGCGGAGCCAATGAGAGAGGGCCCGATCTAGGAAACGACATCGTGAAACAATTCCCAGGGGGTGTGGAAACCCCCGGAAACCCCCGGAATCCCCCCGGGGGGTGGGATCCTTCCGATTCGATTATAGCGAGACCCGGCGCTTCCCTCGGGAAACCCGGGAGCTCCCCGAAATCTCCTACGGGTCTTCGAAGTTCCTCCCAATTCCCGATTCTAAAAGCTTGGAAGTCGGGAGGGAAAAGGATTCGCCTTTCGACAGTTCGAGAAGCGGAACGGGTTAGAGCCGAGTGGGAAGTACCGCGGCGCTAATTCCCGCCCGGAATAGCCGCGACCCCGGGATTTATTTCCGCCCTGGGTTTTTCTCCCCCAGGTCGGACGGCGGCCGGGGAATAGATATATCTCGGCGAGGTGACCGGGTCTGGAACCAGGTCGGGATTTTTTGGGACGTTAGCCGTGCTTCGAGACCTATCTCAGATTGGAGCGGACCCCCCGCGCCCCGCTCGAGGGGTCCGGTCGAGTCCCCCAGTATTCCTCCAAACCATGGCTTCATGGTACTCAAACGACTCGTCTCAACCCACAGACTCATTCTATCTTACCTAAATCCTGTTCCAGCACCACTCATCGAACGAACAGAAGGTGCTCCTACAGAACGTGGGCCTGACGACGTCGGGCCGGTACAAGTGCGAAGTCAGCGCGGAGGCGCCAAACTTCACGTTGGTCCAGGGCGAGGCACCGATGGAAGTCGTGTGTAAGCTGAACTCTCCCTCGGGGAAAAGCTCGGCGTTAATTAATCGCAGCCACTTGTCCCTTTCAAAGCTTTTCCCCCATTTTTCTGCTTGTTTTCTAATACATGGGTGGGAGGGGGAGGGGCTAATCGCGAGGAGCGCCGCCGAGTTTCGGAGCTTGCGGGCTTGCGGAAACTTCGCGGCCAACTTCCGTCCTCGAGTCCATCGGGAATCTCCGAATCTCTCAAAAGGCCCTTTGTGCCATGTCCGCACCCATTGGGGGAGGGAGCTTTCGATGGGGACTTTTTTCCGGCTTTTCAGTTTCGGCCTCCCCCCCGTCTCCACCCCCTGGTCGGTGCAGCCAACGCTTTGCATCGCTTTTTAAGACTTCGGCCCTCGCTCCGCGTTTTCCCGAGCTTTTCCGCGATTGATTTCCCCCCTCTAAGCCGCCTCCTGCCCTGCCTCCCCCCAACCCCCCCATTGCGCTCGCTTCGCGGTCGACCGCGCCCCCGAGCTTTTTTACGACGCCCGGGAAATGGTCCCCCGGAGACATTATTCTTTGTTTGCTCCTCTCGAAAAGCGGCCGCGCGCGCGCGCGCGCGGTATCGGGAAATGTTTCCCGGCCGGGAAATGTTTTCCGCCGACCCGCCCGGCCGGGAATTCACTTTTCTCCCCGGCTTCCCCCGGGACCGGACGCCATTTTAGGTGACGCGGCGATGACGCGCGGAAGGAACTTGCGACTCGGTCCAGGGGTGCGCCTCCACCCCCCAAGGGATGAACGCCATGGTTGGAAATTATTTTCCTGGGCTTCCGGGATCGAAATCATTTCCCTGGACTCCTCGGATGGAAATTACTTTCCCTGCGTTTTCGGGATCGGAATTATTACCCTGGATTTCTGGGCTCGGGGTTATTATCCCGGGCTCCTGGGGTAGGAATGATCTTCCTGGATTTTTCTCGGTTAGGAATTAATTTCCTGGATTATTCTCGGTTAGAAATTAATTTCCCGGATTTCTGGATTCGAAATTACTCTCCTGGACTGCTGGGTTCGAGATCATTTCCCTGCGTTTCTGGGATAGAGCTCGTTTCCCTGGACTCCTGGGATGCAGAAATTATTTCCCAGGACTCCAGGGTTCGAAATTATTTTCCCGGACTCCTGGGATCGAAAGTATTTTCCAGGTTTTCCCGGGGCAGGGGGGGGGGGACGGATGTATACGGATAAATGAATATATACGCACAGGGGGGGGCGCCGATAAAGCGGAGAATTCCCTCCTCGGAGGCGTCGCGGCGCCTCTGGAAGCGGCTCCGGGGATGTCGCGGCGTACCGTGCTGAGCCAAGTCGTGCGAAACTCTCTTCCGTGCTTTTCCAGCGTTGCCCCGAGAGGACCCCGTCATCACGGGGGAGGAGGAGATCTACTCGACAGGTGACATCCTCGCCCTGAACTGCACGACCGCGAAGTCGCACCCGCCGGCAAGAATCGCCTGGTACGTCAATGGGGTGCAGGTAAGTGTCCACAAGCGGAAGAAAAGAACCCTAAAAATCGAAAAAAAAAAAAGAGAAAACCCTAACCAACCCTAACCAAATCCCGAGTATCGAATTCCCTCCGAGCCCCCCGGGCGTCCTCATCCGCGACCTGGACAAGACGACTGTCGGAGGAATCCCGACGTTCGACATTTCGGAAAATTCCCCTCTCGGCTCGATTTTTCCGGGATAATCCCGCCCCCGCGTAACGAGGGTGCGTCAAGATCCCCCGGGACCCGTACCCCCCCTCCACTTCCTCGGGAAAACTCACTTTAAACGTAGTCTCGCGAATTTTCCAGGGGGAAAGGAGAGAAGAAAAAAAGAAACGAGAGAAAAAGCCGGAAAGGGGCGAAAGGAAAAGCGAGGGGGTGGCGTTTCCCTAAGAGGAGCTTTCCACCCCTGTCCCCCTTCTCTCCCCCACCCCGTCCCGGGAGTATCTCCTCCTCGATACCGTCTCTCCTCGGCAGAACGTAAATAAAAGTCCATCATTTCCCTGTGATCATCAACCCCTTCCCGGCATCCCCTTTTCCTTTTTCTCCCCTCATTAAATGTATTTGACTTAAAAATCGATACCCGAGTGCCGCGTCCCTCCACCCCCTGCCCTCCCCTCGACCTGGTGCATCCGCAAAAGCTCGAATTGCAAGTTCAGCGGAACCAGGGGGGAGGGGGCAGGGGGGCAGGAGGGAATTGTTTGCGATTCCTGCAGGGGTTGGACCGACTCCTCTTGTATAGAATGATAACGGCCATTATGATAACAAGGTCACCAATTACGGGGACGCACCGGAAGTATCTCTTCTTCCTTCTTCTTCCCCCCCCCCCCATATTTCGGGGTTATCCTCAAGAATCGATCCTGATGGGGAAAACATAGGATCGATGGATTCGCGGGGTGTCATTATTTCCCCGAGCCGCGGATATTAAAATCGACTTCCGGGGGGGGCAAGGGGGCAAGGGGGCAGGGGGCAGTCGTCGCATCCGCCGCGGTTCATCGAGCGACCATTAATTCTCGTCGGGATTTCCTCGTCGTCACTTCCGGCCTAGGTTAGCTTCCGCTCGTTAAGGTGGCAGGAAGGTATCGGGGTCTTCGACCAATTGCAACGTCGGGGGGTGAATCCCCCCCGGCTCCCCCGTGGTGGGCACCTGCTCCTTGAGAATGTGGGGGGGTGGGAAAAAAGTCGGCGAGAATTATCCTAAATCTGGGAATTCGAGGCGAGGTGGAGGAGACGAGTCGCGGGGGGGTCTTGGGGGACGGNCCACCCGCCCCCTTTAACCTCGACGTCACGGCAGGCGCCGCGACGTTTGTCTTTCACGCCCCGCCGATTTACCTCAGACTTCCGGAAACCTCCTCTAATTAATGCCGACACCTCCGCCGGGCGATTAAGGCCGATCCGCGTTTATCACCCTCAGCGGTGATTAAGGGGATGCCAAAGTGGCGGCGGCGGGGGGGGGGGAATCAATCGTTCGTAGAAGTTTTCCGCGATACGGGGACGTCGAATCGTGTCAAAGTTTACCGCGTGAGAGGGGGAGGATGGGTGGAGGGTCGCATGAAAATTGTTGTACAATGTCTGTACGGAAATTTTGTTCAATAATGGCGGTCGCGAAGTTCGAGACGACGCGGTCGAGTAGGTCCGGAGAGGAGCTTCATAAAGAGGGAGCCTTAATGGAAACGCGCGGCCAATCGGCGCCGGTTTCGCGGATACCCCGCGGGGGATGTCGCGCGCAATTCCGCGAGAAACGGCTTCCGACTTAAGAGGATTTCCCCGTATCCGCGGAAGAACCGCGCCGGGTGAGGAACGGCCCCGCCGCGGAGAGCCCGCGCGGCAACTTCCGGGAGGATTCCGCGCTTTATCGCGCGCGGCCCGAAAATGTAACCCCGGATCAAGACACCGTCTTGAGGCCCCACCCCCCCCCCTCCCACCCTTAAAACTCGGCCGAAGGGGACGCGCCGAAGTTCCGGCGATAAATTCGGAAAAACCGCCCGAACTTCGCCGCTCGGCCCCCGGCGGATCCCGTGCGGCCCCGGGGGAGGGGGGGCTTAAATCCCGGGGGACCCCCCGGTCGCGGTGCAGGGATTTCCCGGATCTCCCTACGAAGGCCTCCCTACGGCTCGGGAAGCCGGAAAACGACGTCTCCGCCCGGGCGGGAACGCGGCCGGAAAACGCCGCCCGGACGGAAGTTCGCCGCGATCGGGCGGAAAGTTTCCCCGGTAAATTTCCGCGGGATGATTACCGTGTCGGGGCCGATCCCCGGGAACTTTCCGCCCGAGGGACCGGGTTTAAGGGGGTGATCCCCCGAGCCACCCATCCATCCACTCCCCCACCCCCCCAAAAAAAAAAAAAAGATTCCCCACGCACGTTTCATCTCACAATCATAATTCAAATTCCACCAAAATGGTAGATAAAGAAAGGGACAATTTTCTCGAGCCTCCCTCCCACCCCCCATATTTTCTATGCATGACATACAGAAAGAGTGCGTAATCTCTCCCCACCCCCCCAACCTCCTGGGTGGATAATCATCCCTTCGATGCCTCAGGCTGAGACTCAGGGGTGGTGGCTTTTACAGGGTGATCCGCAGTGGCGGATAAGACGGAGACTGCCCCCCCCCCCAACCCCCACGGCTTAGCGAATGCAATCAGGGGAATCAGGGGGGAATCAGGAGTTTCGGGGTGCACCTGCGGGAAGGAGGGAGGGGGCGGAGGGAGCTTAAAAATGATTTAATCTCGAGACTCGTTTATCTCTTTACCCGCTCTTTAGTAAAGTCCCCGAGGACGTCGGAGCGAGGGGTGGGGCGGGGGGGCCTGGATGAATAGCCGCCCCCCGGCGCACCGTGGGGGGTCCAACCCCCCGAGAATCCACCCCCGGAGCTTATTTCCACGAAAGCCGCGGATTAATACATCTCGCTATCCCGAGTCGTTAATTGCGAACTTCCATTATCCCCTGCGTCACCTCCTGTCCCTCCCCCCGCCCGCTATCTAACCCTCGTGACTCTTCTTTATCGACTTCGCTGGGGAAGATCCCTACCCCTTTCTCAGCTGGCGGCACTTCAAAGTACCTCTTTCCAAATCATTCTCAAAGTCTTTCGAACACCTCGTTACCCCCTCCCTCCCTCTAGGAGCAATTAACAGGTGTACCGGTAATTGCACCCCCGACTTGAGGGGGGGTTATTTGTCTCCCGCGAGGATATCCTTTCATATTGATCGGATTTCTTTTCGGTCTCGTGGTCTCGGGATGCGTGAAGAAATCCCTACTTTTTGTCGCAGGTGCATTATCAGGTGCACCGTCAGTTGCAGGGGTAGATTGGGTGGCCTCTTCGTTACTCGTCTTCCGGGACAATTTCTTCCTTCATTTTATCCGTTTTTTCTTGTCATCCCAGGTTTTGGGATGTATGGAAAGATTGCTCCGATTTCTTGTTTCTCTTTTGCAGCTGCGAGCAGACTCGGAGACGACGATCGGTCAGCACGGGCTGGTCTCGTCGGTGTCGAGCCTCAGGCTCGAGGTAGGCCCTCGACACCTGTCCAGTGGGCGAATCAGCGTCAGGTACGGACCGAGCCATTTTCTCTCTTCTCTCTCTTTTTTTTTTTCAACTCGCATTGTGATCCCTTCATCTCGGTGCGCAGATGCGAGGCGACGATACAGCTCATCCACCAGGAGGCCGAGGCGCTGATGGACCTGCGCGACACCCAGGTCTTCGGTAAGGGCGGAAAGGGATGGGATTCCCGAAGTGATCCCAGCTTCCCGGTCTCCCCGGAGGGCCGAAAAGGGAATCCACCCCTAGGGGAGGATCGCCATCGCCGCGTCTCTAGGGCCGGCGGGGTGGAGCAATAAAAGGGGATGCGATTTTTTCCGGCCCGTTTATTAGGAGGCCCCCCCGGCCCCGCCATTTTCCTCAAAATTGGCGGCGTATATAAATCCAATTTGGACAACATTTACAGGCCGACACGACAATGGGATTATCAATTAGCGACCCCTCCTAACGATTCCCCCCCCCAACCCCGTTGTATGCGGAAAGCCACCGGCCAACGAGACTTTTCGAGAAATTCGAGGGGGGCCCTGAGGCCCCCCAGCCCCCGTAAAAAAAATCCCCCAAGGATCCAGGATTCGGAAGCCCCACAGAAAAAAATCAACCACTCCAAGGTATGATCCTGAATCCGAGGGAAAAAAAAAAGCAAACGAATCAACGAGCCGATCGGCCGATCCGCAACTTTTAGAATCCGCGGAATAGGAGAATCAGCCGGGGGGCGCCGAGCGTCGTCCGTTAAACGAATTACCGGACTTTATGGATCTGCAAGTCCGTAAAATTTGCACGGGACAAATCCCGGGACGCGGCAGGAGGCGGCGGAGGGGGCGGGGGGAGGGCCCGACGGTGGAAGAAATTAAAACAATAATTTACAGAGCGCCGTCCCGACGCCGAGGCGGCGGCGCTCCTCCGTCCTCGAGCGTGGCTAGACCGAGTCTAATTGCGACCTAAATTAGACCACTGTTGACTTAACTAATTTGTCGCAAACTAACTCGGAAGGTGTGCGAGACGACACCGCCCCACCCCCCGGTTAACAATTATTACTCCAATTATTTCCCGGGGGATCGACGATTCCCGACGCATCGGGGGCAGTCGCCCCCGATTACTCCGGATGGGGGTAATAATTATCTCCACTCGTTAGATGGGAAAAAAAGGAGGGGGTGGAAGGGGGTGGAAGGGAGTAAGAAAAAAAAAATATCCGCCGCCAGGGATCGATCCCTCGACTGACTCTGAGAGCGGAGGGAGAGAGGTAGAGAGAGAGAACGAGAAGAGAAGGGTGAGAAGCTCGGAGGTAAAAAGTAGGTAACCGTGTAATCCGTTTCGAGACAGCGCGGGGGCGGGGGGCGAAAGGGAAACCGGGGGGGCCCCCTGGGGGTTACATCGAAGAAAGCTCCGGGAAAATCCACGGGGGCCGAGCGGGGCTAATAGGATCGAGAAAAGAAGGAACGTAAACCGGAAGAGCGGCGGAACGACTCGGCGAAATTGCCCCTAACGATCATCGATTTTCTCGTTAGGGGCAAATCGTTCGTGGAAGTCCGCCGGAACGCCTCTCGCATTAGTCCTCGAGAGGAGGGCCGAGGGTGAGAAGCCCCCCCCATTGCCCCCGGCGACCCGAAGGATCCACATTCTAGCCCCCTGCAACCCTTCTCGCGCCCCCGGGGGACGATTTTGGCAGAATGGTGGGGAATTCAATTATATCATTCCCTTCTGGGGGGGGCGACCCTCTGACTTCTTTTTGACGGAGGCCCCCTTCGCGGATACGTCGCGACGGAGCCTGTTTCTAGGTTAAGTCGCCCTTTAACCGCGCTCCGGTCGACCCGTCGATACTTAAGCCCCGAAGTGCCCCGACGATCCCCCACGGGGGAGGCCGAATTGCAAAATAATCGCTTCCTGGCTCGCTTCCTGGCCGGCTCCCCCCGGGATTACGTGCCGTCTACTCGCGCCAGCGGCCCCGTGCGTGACTTCCGCTGGGGGAACCCGATTCTAGTGATTTTGCTGGTCCTGCCCCTGGGGGGACCGACCCGGTCACGACGAGGACCTCCTTCCGACTCTTCGCGAGCTCCCGACCTCGGTCAACCCCGGGTGCGCCCAAAAATTCGGGATCGTCGACCGAGAGCTTTTGGTCCCATCCCTGACCTCGGTCAACCTCCACTTTCCATGTCCTTGCCCAGGGATTGGGTAACTTCGACCTTAAATTTGCCGAAGATTTTCAGTTTCGTGGAAGACCTTGCTTTTATCCGGTCCCTGACCTGGGTCAAGCCTTTCTCCACTTCCTATGGCCTGATAAAAAAAAATTGGTCCACTTCGATCTCGAATTTTTCCCGAATTTTCAGTATCGTGGATGACCTCGCTTTGATGATTCATGGGGCAACTCCACCCCGGATGTCATGATGGTGGATCTGTTCTTGAAATTTCCTAAGTTCCTAATTTTTTAACTACCTTCAGGAACTATCATATACGAGCCGAGGCACCGCGCCGCCCTTAAAGGAACTAATTTCCCCGTTCCCCGGTAACCCGGATTGGGTTACCTCCCATCCCTGGGGTAGGTTAGGGTTTCACCAGGCTCGTAACCCCCGAGTTAAGGGGAGGAAGATGGTTGGCTGCTCGGCGGATGTTACACGTCGATTCGGCTCGTTTCTTGCTTTTATTTCGAGGTTAGGTTCCCCGCGGCGCCTCGAGGCTCCCGGCTCCATTCCGCCGGTTTTAGAGGAACTATTTATGGCGAAAGGACTCCGCCACTTTTCGCTCCCTCCCGCCTCCACCGTAGAGAACAACCCCATCCACCCCCGACCACCTGTGACGTTCCTCGTCGCGTGAAAAAAATTCCCCCAAAGGAACCATTCCTCTCCATTTTCCCCATACCCTGAAACAGTTCCTTGCTCTCGCTCGAAGTTGAAGACAATGGGTTTGTCCTTCTTTCAGTGCAAGGCCGGGCGAGTATCGGAGGACCCTGTTTGCCCCTGCTGGCCATAGCGTTCCTCCACCGGCTCCTCCCTGTGGGGTAGAGGGTGGCGGTCCAGAGGGTGGAGGCACCCTTCCGGGAGAGGACCACGTAGCTGGTGACGAGGTCGGCGAGAGGGGAGGATCCACCATGGGCAGAGGGACGGGGCTCTTCGTGACGAAAGACAATCATCCGCTGGGAGGATCGCGCGGCCTAGAAGAGACGTCATTCGGTGACGGATCCGTCAGACCAACGTCGATCTAGGGTTCATTAGGAACCTAGGGTACATCATCAGGAGCCTGGGGCACCCATCAACAGGAGCTTGAAGTACATCGTCAAGATTCTATGGTACCCATCATCAGGGACCCAGGATACTCATCATCAGGAACCTAAGGTACATCATCAGGAGCCTGGGACGCCCATCAACAGGAGCCTGAAGTGCATCATCAGGATCCTATGATACCCATCATCAGGGACCCTGGATACTCATCATCAGGAACCTAAGGTACATCATCAGGAGCCTAGGACACCCATCAAGAGGAGCCTGAAGTGCATCATCAGGACCCTATGATACCCATCATCAGGGACCCTGGATACTCATCATCAGGAACCTAAGGTACATCATCAGGAGCCTGGGACACCCATCAACAGGAGCTTGAAGTACATCATCAGGATCCTATGATACCCATCATCAGGGACCCAGGATACTCATCATCAGGAACCTAAGGTACATCGTCAGGAGCCTGGGACACCCATCAACAGGAGCTTGAAGTACATCATCAAGATTCTATGGTACCCATCATCAGGGACCCAGGATACTCATCATCAGGAACCTAAGGTACATCATCAGGAGCCTGGGACACCCATCAATAGGAGCCTAAAGTACATCACCAGGATTCTATGATACCCATCATCAGAAACCTAGGGAATCACCATCAAAAGTCTAGGATCCCATCCCCACAGGTCCCTGATCCAGATCGCTTGCACAGGCAACGCATCCAGGAGGTCGACTTCTAGGTCGGCCAGCAGCAGAATCGTTGTTCCCTGCTATCTTCCCGCACAGTTAGCCTGGACTCGTCAATTAGATTAATAAAATTAGAAGACACGCGGGATTTGGCGCGGCTCGACCAACGAAGAGGACCCTGCAGAGGACCCTGAAGAGGGCCCTTAGAGAGAGCCGCGGCGACTCGTCGCCCTTCGACTCCAAGGGTAACGATGTACATATCATTGCGCCGGACCCTGGGTCCGGGTAATCCGAGTGGATCAACAGTTTCTAGCGATTTAGGGAAACCAAGGGTCGCCTCGGATCGGGTGGGAACGAGCCCCACCCTGTACATTGCCTCGATGCACTAGATAGTCAAATCTCGCCGAAGACGAAGGGTCCCAAAAAAGCCAATCTCCCTATAGGTCAGTCTTCAGCATCCTAGTCGACATATCTGTACATAAACATAAATGTCCCACCTAGTGGAACAAAAGAATTAAAAAAGGAAAAAACAAAAACCGAGCGTTCGAAATTCCCCTCTCGAAAATCGCCGTCTCTTAAGGGGGTGCTAAAGTGCCATCCAGGAGAACGAAATCTCACTTCTCTCGTAACTGGGTGTACCGAATCGCTTGAAACTTTGCAAAGAGACTGATAAATCTACACGGAAGGTCCCTACGCGGCGAAGATTTGAATTTTTGCAAAAAAATTGTTTAAACGTCTATAAAGAAATTTTGAAAAAATTCGTTTCAAGGGAGAAAGGATTTTCCTTGGAGCTTCGTTATTGTCATTGTAATGTTTGAAAGGACTCGGTACACTCAGTTTGGGGGAAAGATTTATTAAACGAGACTCCGTTTTCACCTAACCTTAAATTTAATGTACTCAAAGGGATTCTTACGGGGGGAGGGAAACGGTATTTCCGGTACGCGTACTCCTCCGCTAATTGTAAAGACCTCACGGGTCCGCGGAAGATCGACTCGGCGGAATTGCCGCGCGGAATTCCGCCGGCGGAATTCGGCTAATTCCCGGATATAAGCGGCTTGGTCCGGATTAATGCTGAATCCGCGAAAGTCACGGGGTCCTCGCGGGTGCACTAATTATTAATTACACCTAACCGAATGTACCCAATATGGCGCCCCTGGGCGGAGGGCCCGGGAAGAGAGGCCGTCGCGGAACCTCCGCAGACTTGTCCGCTGTACGGGCTTCCGTTCTAATTATAACTTATAATTAGTACGTGCGATTAATAAGAAGCCGAGAGGCCCCGGCATATCGGAGCCAAGATGCGCCGCGGAGGAGGACGCAGCGACGCGTCGCACTGCAGTGTGACACGGACGCGACGCTTTCGGAAAATCTGTTTCTAATTTTTTTTTCTTTTTTTCTTTCGCGCGAAAAAGTCTCATGCGAGATGATCGGCCAGTGTGGAAATGATTAACAATAATTAAACAAATTGGACGAGATGTTCGGGCCAAGATGTGCCGCGGAGGAGGACGCAGCGACGCGTCGCACTGCAGTGTGACACGGACGCGACGCTTTCGGAAAATATCTGTTTATAATTTTCTTTTCTTTTTCCTTTCACGCGAAAAAGTCTCTTGCGAGATGATCGGCCGTGCTTCATTAATTAATATCTCATAAGAAATTAGAGGAGAAGGTCGGGCCATTCCTGGGAGGTCCTCGAGCGGAAGGGCGTCCAGGAATTTGGTGGAATGAATTCCCACCCACTTCCACCCACCCCATGGACCCTTCGTCTTTGGCGACGGCGAATGCGTTATCGTGTAAAGCCCGTTTACTGACAGCCAATCGATGTTCACAGTGTCTCACACAGCTGATACCACACAGTCGTGTAAAGCCGTTTCTCGTGGTCGCCATTTTTCCGTTGCGGCGTTCCCCCTGACGGCGGGAATAATCGCAAAAAAAATTGAAAAAATAATAATAATAACTCCGCCGTCATGCGGAAACCGCCAAGCATGTACACGCTGCCTTATCCGAAAGATTCGCTAATCCGGGGAGGGAAGAAACGCACACGGATGGAGAATAAAGAGGAAGAAGAGAGAACGAGAGAGATGGTACCTCAGTGTTAGCCCTCAGTTGTAACGAGCTTCTTATACGTATATAAATATATACACACACGACAGACACGCTATACATAAATATACATAAATATGCATAAAAGAGAGGGAGAATATATTATATATAAATATATAAATATATATATATATAAATATTGAAAGTCGTGTTGAAAGCCGTGGAGGAAATTGCGAGCAAGTCGTTCGTCAGTTTTTCCCTTTTCCTTCCGTTCGAGAGACGTCGAGACCCGATTTCCTAGGTCAGTACCGAAAATCCTGCGGCAGGACATTCTCCAAGGACTCCGTCGAGAGGTCCTCGAGTGAGAAATTTCGCCGAGGCGAAACCTGGGAGATCGAAAAGCGAACTCTTCGAGATTTCCCCGAAGGGGGGGAAATATGAAACGAGGGAGAGAAAACCCGGAAAATTACGTAAATCGGCGGAAAGCGTCGTTTCGTTCAGAGTTCGCCTACTTGTATGTATGGCCTAATTTGTATACACGTATACATATACATACACACACGAATATATCATACATTTCGCATATTTAGTAATACAGTCATTGTTTCATTAAAAAAAAAAAAAAAGAAAACGAGTCTTCTTTTTTACGCCCACCCGTCCCACGGTCCAAATAATTCCCGCCTGCGGAAAACGCGATTTTCGGAAAAACTGGGGGGCATACACACACACACATATGTATCATACATTTCGCATATTTAGTAATACAGTCATTGTTTCATTAAAAAAATAAAAAACGAGTCTTCTTCTTTACACCCACCCTTCCCACGGTCCAAATAATTCCCGCCTGCGGAAAACGGGCGGATTCGAGGGGGGTACCGGAAAATCGGAATTTTCCTTCGCGGGTTAATAAAGCGATTTTCAGGGGAGGAATAATTCGGAGCATTCCGAACGGAATTAAAAGCCTTTCTTCCGGGCGTGCGGCCCAATTGCTCCTCGAGTTTGGAAATCGCGGAAGAAGGGCTGGGGGGGAAATAAAAAAAAAACCGCAGCGGCGGGGAGAAAGGAAACGGAGGAAACCGGAAGGGCGATCGATCGGGGCGACTGAAAAGGGAAAACTGAAAGGCGACGAGGGCGCCTCCTCTCCTTGAATATTGAATCGTATCTTCTGCGCGAGATGTTATTGGAAAATGGGGGGAAAATGTCGGGGGGGGAGGGAGTGCAGGGTGCCCAATTGACCCATCCAATTGGGGGGTCGCGATGATAAAACCCACCCCCAATTCTGAGGGATGCACTTTCCAGGAATTTCTTGGAAAAGTCTTCCCTCCCCCTCCCAAAATTGGCGCCCCCTGAGTTATCGATCCCCCTTCGATCGATTGATAAAATTTTCCGAAATCCGGGGGGAGGTGCGTAAAAAAATTCAGGTACCGGGCCAAAGTAAGCTCCGGTGAAATCGACCGGGAAATGCGATTCTGTCGCTTGATAAAATTTTCCGAAATCCAAGGGGAGGTGCTGGAAAAATTTCGAGTACCGGGCCAAAGTAAGTTCCGGTGAAATCGACCGGAAAATGCGTTATCAATCGCTTGATACAATTTTCCGAAATCCGGGGGGAGGTGCGTAAAAAAATTCAGGTACCGGGCCAAAGTAAGCTCCGGTGAAATCGACCGGGAAATGCGATTCTGTCGCTTGATAAAATTTTCCGAAATCCGGCTGGGGGGGGGGGGGGAAAGCGTCCGAAATTTCGGGTACCAGGCCAAAGTAAGTTCCGATGAAATCGACCGGGAAAGCGGGCGCTCCTCGGGACTGGGATTTATTTAGATTTAAACGCGTTTTCGAATCCGCGTTCAATTTGCACGCACGCTCTCCGCCGGCGGGTGCGCCGCGGCCTCGCAAACAGAAACGGGGCCCCCCACGTTATTCCGGCAAATATAACGCGCCCGTTTGAACGGCCGTTCGGATTTCATTTTTCCCAACCCCCGGTCCGACCCCCGGCGAGCCTTTGAAGTCGAGTCCAAAGCTCCGTCGCGCAAATAAATTAATTTTTCGGCCCAAATCAGCGGATCCCGCGGCCGCGCTCGTCTTCCCGCCCTCGAACGAAGAGCGGAAGTCGCGACTCGTCTCCTGGAGACCCCCAAAAGGATTGTCTTCCCCAAGACGGGGCATATCCCGGTGACGTCGCCACACCCCTCGCGCTGCCCTGGTACCCAACTCCCGGGTGCCCCAAGTTTCGCCCTACTTTTCGAATAAGAATCCCCCAAAAGGAGTCGGCTCCAGAGGAAGATGAATCTCCCTTGTGGGTTTTTTAATACCTCCCCCCGGGGGGTATTCAAATGGGGGGGACCCCCTGCCACCCCTTCGACGCGTCACCCTAGGGACTAGGATCGCGGAAATCCCCTTCGAACGTACCCGATAGCTCTAACGATAAGACAGCCGCACTTGGCCAGGTCGACGGACGCGGAATTTCCGCCGCGATCCGTCAGGAACCCCCGGACACGGCGGACGGGTTAGCTTTCCCAGGAAATCCGTCGGACTCGTCGCCTGGATTTTCCGGGGGAAAAATCGGACGAACCGGGGGGGGGGGGCGTCAAACCGTGGCCGTAATCCCGGCGGGATCGTCTAGGAGGCGACGTCCCGGAGTGACATCGAGGGCGTCCGGGCGAACGCCCCCGCGCTTCGAGGGCAGACACTCTCCGAGAGTCGCGGTCTGTCATTCGGCTTGACATGACACTTTCCACCCCCGGCATAACGAGGGCGTCGCGGCGCGTCATGACAACCCTCGAAAGCGCCCCCTCCCCGATGGGGTGAGGCCGGTGCCATAATCAGCACCATTGACGCCATTATACCCGACCTGGCGTCCGAATGGCCGAATTTTCCGCCCCCTCCTCCACCCTGGATAAGTGACTTTG